GCGTGCGTGCGTGCGAGCGAGCGAGCGAGCGAGCGAGCGAGCGAGAGTGCGTGCGTGCGTCCGTGCGTGCGTGCGTGTGTGCGTGCGTGCGTGCATGTGCGTCTGTGTGTGTGTGTGTCAGTGTGTGGAGCAACAGTTGCCAATTCAAGGAACTTGATGATCACGGGACTCCCGCAGATTGCTGGCAGCAGCGCAGGTCGGCTGAGAGTCCTTGGTGGCATGCACTCAAATGCACTCTCATACTGCGGGCCAGGTGAGCTGGACACATCCTATCGTTTCGTCGAATTTGAAACCAACGGTGTCAGCTTTCTTGTGAAGGCTGACTTTCTCAGAGGATTGTCCGCCAGCCTGATCGCCTCCATTCTCAGGCTCCAGCCGATGCGCAGAAGGATGGCAAAAACCTGGAGCTCGCCCATAAGTGCTTCGACTTAGAGAATTGTGTGATGTGCTGATGGGAAGTCTTTGTGGATGAGCTGAAATGTTTACGCCCTCTCCGACATACTCTGCGATTCAAGAAGCTCTGCACATGGTGCTTCATAGCTTTTTGTCTTGTATGCTGCCAAGGAACTGGTACTACCAGAACGAGGCAGGGATGATTCGTTTGAGCTGGCTACGTTGATAAAGGAGCAGAAACCTCCCAAGCCTTTAGCTGCACTGTCGGCGGTTGTTCTCATCAAGATGCTGATTTGGATTTCGCTTGGAGTCTTGGAAGTTTGGAGGCATTTGTGAAGAAGAGTCGGGTGAGATCGTTTGAAAGCCGCAGAGCTTTTGGCTCTCAGAATCAGACTAGCTGCGGAACTGAACAGTTCTGGACACAACAGCCAGCGTGCCAAGTGTGATCACGCCCAGAATGGAGATCTCGAGGGAAGAGCACGAGAACGAAGTCGAAAGGGAAAGTGCAGTCGCTGAGCTGCTTCAGGCGAACTCAATCAGCAAGCGGTTCGGGGAACTGGTAGCATTGAGCGGCGATGTTTGTTCTTCGCCCAACTAAAGCCACTTTGCCCACCTCGTCATGCTGCCCACTAAGGGTTGTAACCTAGAGCCGTGGGTGCACCTGAGACCCGTGGTTGCGGCATCGTCTGGTGTCCTCACCATGGATTAAACGAAGGTTGAGGAGAGTTGCTGTGAAACGTACCCGGCCGTGACAGACAGGAGAGACAGGGGCAAAAACAAGCACGACGAACCAGCAAATAAAACTCTTGCCTGCGCTTCCTCCAGACAAACGGAAGTCACAAGCCGATTTCCCTATGCAATCGAACACACTGCTCAAAATTCACGAAACTCCGCAGATAAAGTCCGAATCCACGAAGACGCTGTGCGAACATGTTTTGCTCGGCAGCGGGCAGGGATGAGCAGGGGCGGGAGTGCAACGAGGAGTCTTCTCATCCTTCCAGATTTGGCAGACACTCGAAATCTCACACCAGCTAACCAGGGCTCGGTCGAATTCATCTGTTGGCGTATCTGCAGGTAAAGACGTGAAAATGCTTTGAATCTCGGTTCTCCTGTTCCGGAAAGAAATCTGAAATCGAGCAGATGCTGAATAAGCCCCAGAGAGTTTGGCAGTGTCTCCGCCAGTGTCCGGGTCTCTTGATGCCTGAACTGTCGAATGTGATGGCATGCCCAGCAACACTTTGTCGCCTGGAGCTATTGGGAACGTCCATTGATCCCTTTCCTGCGTGTTACTGCTCAGATTAAAGCACTCACCACGTATGTCAAGATGTTGCTGGGCAAAGTTGCCGAGACCTTGGTGCAAGCTCATTCTGTCTCTTGCGCTGAATCAGTTTTGGTTTCCATGCTCCGAGGACACTTTCGTTCTTGCGTTGCAGCGCAGTGGCAAGATCCATGAGGCAAGCCTCTTTGCAGCTGCATCTGCATTGTTTCGATGCCAAGACGTCTGACATACACCGAGCAAAGACCCCGATGAATCTCCGTGTGTGCGTGCTAGCAAGCAAGTCAGTAACTAAGTACAAGAACCCTGTAGCACAGGACCGGTTCCCTCTTCCACGCAGTGTCTTGAGCTTAACTCCACGCCCTCGCGCTTTGGAGGAATACCACGTGGGGTGGAGAGAAGGGGGGGGGGGGGGGTNNGTGGTGGTGGTAGTGGTCGTGGTGGTGGGATTGCGGGGGGACGGTGGGGGTGGGGGGGAGAATGCACAGCGCAGAACCAAATACATATATATATATATATGTCAGACATACGTGACATACATACATATATACATAGATACATAGATACATAGATACATAGATACATACATATATAGATACATAGATACATAGATACATACATACATACACACATACATACGTACATACATACATACATACATACATACATACATACGTACGTATGTACATACATACATATATATATATACGCATACATCCTGTATACATATATATATATATATATTAAGCAACTGAATTAACTGTTTGTTGCTTTTTTGTTTATTATAGGTATATATATATATATATCTACATCATATACATACACATACACATACACATACACATACACATACACATACACATACACATACCTATACCTATACCTATACCTATACCTATACCTATACCTATACCTATACCTATACCTATACCTATACCTATACCTACCTACCTACCTACCTACCTACCTACCTACCTACCTACCTACCT